CCCCAAAACCCCAAAACCCCAAAACCCCAAAACCCCAACAAGAGAATATGAACATTTTAATAAAAGTTGACCATACATTTTATTTTGTATTGTCTTAATAATAATTTAATCGTAGTCATCAATTATTTATAAATATCCCTCGATTCTTAGAATCAGTCAATCGTCTCTAGTTTTCGACTTGATATTGCCTATTGCTTTTTCATTGAGATATTTCTTTTTTTATACACTTCATTTTATAAACTCATTGGCAGATCATTTCTGTTCAAAATCGATCTATCTAGCTGGGGTAATATCAATTATTTTTTCTCACTCTTACTTAGATCATTTTAGCTACTATTTTGAATATTCTTAAGATTCCTCTTCATAGAATTTAATTAAGATAGTTATATCAACTCCTTCTTATTACCTCTATTCGTCAATTACAAAAGTCTCTCATTAATATTAACATTTAAATGGGTGTTAAGATCTTTAGATGAATCATTATTTAGCATGATAGGCAGAGTAGGTTCATCATCATCGTTAATTTGATTTATTGAGCTTTGAATTTGTATGCCTGAAACATCCAGTAATTCATTAGAATTTTGGTGTGCTTGCTTCAGTCTATTGCTTGGGCTGAGAGAATTCCTTTTTGACTGAATGTTACTAACTGATTGTACTTGTTGCTTTAGTCTTCTCTCTTTATTTAGGAGATGATGGTTGTTCATTTTGAACTTCTAAATACTGTTTAGTTTAATTAGATCTCTTATCCTGGAAGGTGATCCAGAGGGAGAAAAATCTGATAGCTCATTCTAATTTAGATTTGATTGCAATATCTCCTACTAATTCTGTTCGCTTGGATTGCTATTAGAGTTTTTAACTACAAAATTATGTTCAGGAATTTTGTTAAGATTTATAAAATGGTTACGCAGCATATTCCCTTAATTTAGATTCTTAATCTACTTGGCAATATTTTTTTAAAGCGCCTATTGATCATGACTCATCGATACGATCTAAGCATATTACTTTAAATGTCTTATCGACATAATGTTATCCATTTCATTCAGATTCCTCAGAGATTTTTAATTGAGGGACTGAATAATTTGAGGCAATGATTATTCGTTAATTGCTTTAATGGACTTCTTACTGTAATAGTTTTCATTTTATCTTGGACTTTCGTCAAATGATATATCCTTTTGAGATGTCAGATTCTCTAACTAGTTTAATGAATCGTTTTCTCCATCTGTTTCTTCGGTTTTCATTCGCTTAATACCACCTATTTTTTCTGTATTCTTAAAAGCAGAGAGATTTTTATTGAAGTTAGGCTATTCATGCGTTTCTCTTGCTTCATATCTTATTCTTGTAGGAGATAGTGATTATTACTCAACTAGTTTATTCCCATAGTCTAGTCTTAGCAAATGAAAGTTATTGTTTTCATTAGATTTTTTACTTTTTAGTATTTTCTAAGGATTTTAAAGCAATATTGAAGATTTTTAAGTTAATTTATTATTAGATTTTTATGATGATAATGACCCATAGTTATTCGCAAATTATTATTTTAGAGGGTTCTAAAGTGATTGATTAATAAGTTTTCTACTTTTCGATTTATCTAAGGTGATTTTAGGTAGGTAAGAATTTTTGTTTTTTGCTTGAGGAAATTAAATCTAATCGTACTGCTCGGATTTTCTAGCTGAGCCCAGAATTCCATTTTCCTGATCTATTGGAGTTTTTGAAATTGCTTAGGCTTTTTTGCTTTTAAATATGTTATAGTTTGGCTGGGGGAAATTAGATGTCACATTCAATAGATCTTTTGGAAAGTTTATTGTTTTCAGTAATGTATTGTTAATATCCAAATTAAATGCTTCAAATCTATGCCCTCCTGCTTATTACTGTAACTGGAATTGCTAATGTTTTCTTCTAAAAGCACTTGAATTCATAATTTGTTCGCATGTTGGTCTTTTTCTTTAATCCAAACTGAGTAATAGTTTAACAAGTTACTATAGGTCATTAGAGTACTACTTTGGAATAGGTTTAATGTTTCCTCTCATCACCAATTTGAATAGATCATCCATATTCTCAGCTTTAAATGGAGGCTATAATGTTATCATTTCATAGAGGACACAGCCAAGTGACCATATATCACTTTTTATATCGTATGACTCATCTCTCCATACTTCTGGACTGGCATAATATGGAGTCCCTGTCTGAGTGTAATTTAGGCCTTTTTAATTAGCTACTTTTGAAACGTTCATGTCACCTAATTTAATAGTGTAGTCTTTATTCAAAAATAAGTTCGCACTTTTTAAATCTCTATGCATGATTTTCAGATCATGCAAAGATTTTAGGCCATTGACAATTTAAATAAAGAGCTTCCAAATTTAATCCTCAGTGAACATCAACTCTTTTCTTTACAATTCTAAAATTTTTTCGTATAAATCACCATTATCAGCATACTCCATGACTATACTAAAGTAATCATGAAAAGGTAAGGAAAATTACCATAATAACTCTCTTTTTGGTTCAATGAAGCCTTCCATATACCTTATGACATTTTAACTATTGATCGATGCGAGAATTCTTATTTCATTTATTGAGTTTTCCCTTTCTTTTGGACCTAAAAGTCGCAGTTTCACCTTCTTAAATGCATAAATCTATTGATCCACTTTCCTTTGCACTTTATAAACAGTGCTATAAGCCCCTTTACCTAAAACTCTTGCTAAATTCTATATAAATTATACCTAATTTCTTAATGAAAAAGAAATCATCTAGCTTTGAATACCTCTTAACATTTTGACTTGGTTCTTCATCCTCATCATCTGCCAAGCTGCATTCGTTATTGTCTTATACCAGAATTTTAGATTCAGCTACACTCTCACTAAGGATAGAGCTTGTTTAATTCGTACTCATAGCCATTATCAATGGATTCATTGCTAATTTTATCAATAAATTAAAAATAATAATTTGGAATTTCGCATAATTAGGCTATTAAAATATTCTTAGTTATTCTCCTAGTGGGGTTTTGGGGTTTTGGGGTTTTGGGGT